CCTCCTGCCCAGCCCTCTTCTTTCTGAGTCTACACCAGACATGGAGATTTTGGTTCTGGTGAGCTCATTGGCTTTTACCAGATATTTCAGGAACCAGCAGTAACTGGTTGTGAAATGAAGAAAGAAATGGGGTGAAGGTAGGAGACACCAACAGAACGAGGCCACTACACCTCTAGAGGTGAGTTTGGAAAGTGCTCTATCATAATGTGCTACCTATCCACTTTGAAGAGACACCATACTCTTCCTGTGTAGGAGAGGTCAAATCATCCCCTGCAGCCATAATTATTTAGATTCCTCAGGCATAACTTCAGACACTGCAATCAGAGGCAGAGGGGCCCAACTAGTCCCTTTGGAACCTTGTATTCTGAAAAGAATATGCATGAGCCCAAGTTCATATTTTAAAGATTATATTTTCTTAGAAATGAAGACTTGAAATCGTGTCTACAAGCACAGCCTGCCTGAGGACTTTGCCAATACAGGATGTGTAAATGCAGACTCAAGTCTAACCAGACCACATTGGAGAACTGGGGAAGAATCCAGAAAGGTTCCACTCCTCCAGGAGGGGTTGAAAAGTATTCAGCAAGAGTGAAGACTATGTCACCGAAAATCAGAACAGGAAATGTGACTTTGGTGTTGAGAGCTCTTCCTTTGCTATCTTTCTGTGATGGCCTCTCCCCAAGGCAGAATATCTCCTGCCTTCATGTTTGTCTTGTCTCGTCGTGGACCCCATTCCAAATGATGCCCACATTCCATTCCTATCTCTTCGCTATCTTACCTTTTCCTCATCAAAGCCTATCCAGTCTGCCAAGATCTTTGTGTGTATTCTGATAAAGTATTTACTGCTGAGGCAGGCTATGTCACCAATACACTCAGCCACCGCCTGTTCTCTCCACATTTATGTGTGGATTGGGACTCCTGAACTCTCTGTCAAATTGTACACACTTGCTGTCCCCTTACCCCACTGTGCCCAATCCCAAAGGTTACATTGTTGGCAGAATGCCCTTTGCTTCTCTGAGTTCTGTTTGAATGTCCCCCAAACTGATCACCCTTGTCAATGACCAAATAACCCCATATAATGTGCGAACACTTAAGGGCTTCCAAGTCCAACATTCTTTCCTTTTTTTGTTTTTTTTTTTTTTGTTTGTCCATATAATGTGCCAACACTTAAGGGCTTCCAAGTCCAACATTCTTTCCTTTTTTGTTTTTGTTTTTTGTTTTTCTCTGTGTAGCTTTGGAGCCTGTCCTGGTTCTCTCTCTGGAGACCAGGCTGGCCTGGAACTCACAGAGATTCACCTGCCTCTGCCTCCCAAGTGCTGGAATTAAAGGCATGCGCCACCAATGCCCAAGTCCAACATTCTAATATCTATTCATTCAACGTGCACTGGAGAATTTCAGTACTTTGGGACTACAGTAAGATTCTACCCAGTGATTGCTGCTTGAATAATTGCAAAATGGTAGCCACAATTTTATTCACACGGTTTTAGATAATTGTGGAATCTTCCAGACAAGGGACAGAATTTGGCAATCCTTTGGAAGCCGGGAAGCAATCTGTGTCCAACATTTTTAGAATTGAGGACAGGAGAAGCGAGCAAACAGTGAGGACTGGTGGGCATTATGCTGTAAGCTTGGCATCTGTACTGTCACTTATCTTGGCCAACAGGTTCCTTGTTTCTAAGAAATTTCTAGAATATGCACCACGCTGGTCAGAAATAGTCCTGGTCTCCTTAGCTGCGGTCTCCACACGGGTGCTCCTTTCCTTCCTCCCTTCTCCCCCT